TGAAGTGGCCCTCAGCCTTAAAAAGGTTGGTGACCCCTGCCCTAGAGCTTCTTGCTCTCTACTCTCTCTCTGAACACCATGTGAACACTTGGGCTCTCTACTGCCCTCTGACACACTTCATGCACAAAGTAGACATCACCACATCCCAGAGTGAAAATTATAAAAAGAAAAACATGAAAAATAAACAGAATACAACACATAACCCAACAATGTGACTATGTCTCTTAAAGAGTTAAGTTTTTTTGCAACTTATTAAACCAAACTTTGAGAACCTTGGTGCTAATTCAAATGGTAAGCTAAATGTTTTCCACATAAATACTGTAGATATACAAAAAAAAAAAATACTGATAAAGTAGGCAAGTTAAGATTTTTATAGGAGCAATATTTAAAACATTTGGTGTAAAATTAACTAAATCATTTGCATTTGTCTCCTTGGATGGAAATAATCCTCTCTATTTACTCCATCAACAACATCTTAGTCAGGTTTTTCTCTTTTCAAACCTACAGGTATGTGTGGAACTACACTGCAAAAAAAAAAATAATAATAAAGAAATCATGTCAACAACTCAAATTACAATTACATCAAACCTTTGTGAAACAAAGGAAGCAACACTGATTGACAATCAATTTCAGATGCTGTTGTGCAAATGACAACAGGTGGAAATTATTTGTCAATTAACGACACATTCAATAAAGTAGTGGTTCTGCAGGGGACCACAGAACACTTCTCAGTACCTATACTTTGCTGATGTTTTGGTCACTTTTGATTGCTTCTGGTGCTTTTTATACTCATGGTAGCATAAGACGGACACTGCAACCCACACGAGTGGCTCAAGTAGCGCAGCTCATCCAGGATGGCACATCAGGATGTCGAGCTGTGGAAAGAAGGTTTAGTGTGTCTGTTGGCATAGTGTCCAGAGTCTGGAGAAAGGTTAGTACACCAGGACATGTTGAGGAGGCTGAAGAATGCAGCAACCCAGCAGCAGAACCACCACCTTTGCCTTTTGCAAGGATGCACAGGAGGAGGACTGCCATTCCCCAGCAATATTACCTCCAGTAGGCAACAAATGTGCATGTCTCTGCTCAAATGTTAGAAACCGACTCCATGAGGATGGAATGAGGGCCCGATGTCCACAGATGGGGGTTGTGCTTCCAGTGCAACATCAGGCAGGACACTTGGTATTTGCCAAAGAACACCAGGTTTGGCAAATTCACCATTGGTTCCCTGTGATCTCCACAAAATAAAACATGTTCACATAGAGTCTGAAGACACCATGGAGAGCAATCTGCTTTGAAGGGCTTTTAGGATGTGTGGTGGTTCGAGTCCAACTCTATGGTAAATGGTAAATAGCCTGTACTTATATAGTGCTTTTTTTCAAGTCAGGAGACTTGAAAGCGCTTTACACTACATTCAGTAATTCACCCATTCATGCACACACTCACAATCTGATGGTGGCAAGCTACATTGTAGCCATAGCTGCCCTGGGGCTCACTGACAGAAGCGGGGCTGCCGTACACTGGCGCCACCGGGCCCTCTGACCACCATCAGTAGGCCATACAGGTGAAGTGTCTTGCCCAAGGACACAACGACAATGAAGCCGGGCAAACTCCTTCGATTTCAGGGCAAACTCCTACATCCGACACCACTGTGCGAACTCTACCTAAGATGGCTCCAGAAAGTTCTGTATCCAACTGCAGAGTGATGACCCAATCCTAAATGATGGGATGTTGTACTTAGTTTGCAGGAGATCTCAGTAAACAATAAGCTTTAGTCCACTCATGGCATCCTGAGATCCATGCCCTGCCCCTCCAGGTGGGTCAGTCCAGAGTGGAAAGCTAAAGGAAAAAATTTTTCTGCACAAAGGTTCTGCTTTTATGCAAACTGGTGCGGGTTTACTAATGTCAGGGGACATTTTTATTTTGTAATATGAGACGACCAATTCCTTAATGCATTAGATTGTTAGTGGGAGCACTATCCTTTATACTTTATATATGTTATACTGTTTTTCTTTGGTTATGGTAAAATTATGGATGGTTTCAGAAATTTACGGACCGTTTCTAAGAAATAAACTTGACTTAATATCTTTAAAATCTCTACAAGTTGTTTAGGACACTCCCCAAGAATCTTGCAAGGAACTTCATCTGTACCAAATGAACATATCTTTTGTTTACTTATATTTTTAGTTTACTTTAACATCTTTGCTTGTGCTTAATGTCAGATGTTGCCCCTTTCTGCTGATATTATGGAAACGGTCACCTTCTGTCTGTTATCAAACCTCATGAAGAAGATATTCAGCTCATTTGGTGGTGAGGGTGAGGAGTTTATGTAGACTTTGGATATGTTTTGTAGTATTTTAGAGCCTGTCTGATGCCTGTCCACATGACCTTGGTGTATTCGTTTATATGAACAGGGCTGGGAGGGCTACCTAAACCTTGCATTCAAGTAAACCAACTTCATCATATTTTAACTCAAGAAATCAGTCAACCAAGAAATTACTCAAGAGTAAAAAACAATTGGTAAAAAGGCTACTCAAGTACTGAATGCGTCACCATGATGTCTGAAAAATATGTGATATATACCGACTTAAATGCAAAGGTATGTGAAAGTTCTAATATTTTTAAATTCTTTAATAAAATAATTAAAACACAGCAATAATGCCATTAAAAAACACTTCCAGGGAGGACAAACGCCTTTTCAAAATCTAATTTTTAACATGAAATGTACCTCCAGTATCTCCACTGACAGTATTTACTCCTTACTATATATTACCTTGACCTCTAAATATCATGGTAGGTTCAAGTAAGCTTGTGTACAAAATAAAACACCCATTTTGACATAAACATTAACTGCATTTCTTTATCTTCTGCACATTAAAAAAAAAAAAAAAATCGTATTAATTAATCTGTGAAATTACCCGAGATCAATGGAGTGGCCAAACATTTTTTCAAAAGTATTTTATTAAGATAGTACTCAATAGAAAATCAAAATTTTAGTGCAGTAAAACAAAATCTAAATGTACATTTTTGTCAAAACATAACTAAGTTAACTGTAACAGAGTAAATATAACTAGTTACTATCTACCTCTTTATATTTTTTTTTAACCTTTTAACACCTTTTGTGATTCCATTTATTCCTTTACTTGTTTGTACACATTTGCCTCTGAATCCTTAACTTGTATCTTATAATGAATGTTAGCACTAAAGTTATATCTTAAAAACAATGCCTCATTTTGCTTTGAGCAAATTAAAGACAAAGAAAACTAAATAACTCCATGATTGGATAAATCATTTTTGGTCTAGTATGATTAGGTCAATAAAATTGTTAACTACAAAGTTAGTTGGTTAAGCCTTATGTAATGATTAAACTGTAGCTTGGAGTCAGAAAATATACAAAGACCACCAATAAAATAAGATTCCCAAAGCGTATTTGACATTAAACATAAGTTTTAAGCAGAGATGGGAAGTAACGAATTACAAATACTTCGTTACTGTACTCAAGTAGATTTTTCTGATATTTTTACTTTACTTTACTACTTATTTTTATGGCGACTTTT